CCTACACCCGTATGTTCCTAATGAGGAGAAGAGCCTCAAATTCCAGCAGCCCAGGGCACCATGTCACACTGGGTCCACTTCAGTTGACTCAGCAGCGTTGCGATGACTCGGAAGGAGCGTGCGCAGACCAGCAGGTGCACACGTGTGATGGCACCAGGATGCCTCAGTGCTGCTATGGCTGCATGAGCTGGGCTCTGCCACCCCTCTCACGCCTGACAGCCGGGCACTCACGGTGCACTGAGTCCCAGCACCCAGCCGCCCTGCACACCACGGCACGGCTCATCGCACAGCCCCGCGGCAGCCAGCACCCACCACCTCACCCCCAGGTGCGAGGGGGCCCTCGACCTCCAAGCATCACGACTGAGCCCAGGGCAAACACGTGAACCTCTCGCCCCACTGCACGGGCGCAGCCCCAGGAGGGCCTGTTCGGTGCGTGCCAAAGGCGCTCAGTGCAGCAGCTCAGCTGTGTCTGCCCAGGTGTCCCCACGCAAACACCCTCCCCATTGCTTGAAAAGGTTGCACCACTACCCGAGTCGCTGGTGTAAACTTGGGGTCCCTGCCCCAGGCTCCGGTGATAATTTTGAGTAATTTCAATCAGGCTTTTTCACCGAGCTTGTCCCTGCACCATTTTGGCCACTGCAGCTTTTCTCTCCTAACATGAGAGCAAGAGCAGAGGTTTGTTCCGCCTGCCAGCAGCCCCCTGAGAGCCCTCAGGATCCATCCGTCCGTCGCAGGAGAACTTGGGCGCTCTCCCTGCCTTGCCTTCCCGGCCTCCCTCCTGGGCTTTGGCATTCCCAGCTCCTTCAGCTGCTGAGGGAAGAAGACCAAAAGAAGGCAGAGCTGCATGTCTTTGCACAAGCACAGCTGTAAAATAATACGAGCCTGTGCTTTTACCAGAGAAATGTGAGTCTAATTAATAAAGCTGCACTGGCTACCACACAGGAATGCTTGCTGAGCACCTGTAGGTATAAACAGGAATATAAACTTTCACAAATAAGGCTCAACTCAGAAACAAATGGATTATTGTCTTTTACATTCCCCCAACCTGGAATACTTTCAGTGCTGTTGGAGGGCAGCAGGCTGTAACTCTATCAGCCCCTTCCCCGACCAGAAAAACCCTCCCTCTGTTACGAGGCAGGTGCCACTGAATTATGAAAACTCGCTTTATTTCAGCCTCCCCTCTCAGCCCACGATCTGGAGGTTTGCAAAACATTTTTCCCTGCAGGAGTTCTAATAACGCCTTTCTCAGCCACCGTAATTAGCTGTTTACCTCCCAAACATGACTTTTTTGGCACAACTCTCACAATGACCTCACTTTCCATGCAAGAAAATTTCATGTTTGGGAAATCGGATTATTGGAGGATTTACTTTTCTTTAACGGTGAAAGCGGCTCTCAGCCTGCGGAACAGCTGCTGCAGTACGGCGAGGGGCAGCAGGAGGAAGCTGCGTTCGCGGGCAGACTCAGTCCAGCTCGGCGGCTTCTCCAGCTCTTCGGCGAGCACCAGCAGGAGCGGCCGCGCTGGGTCAGAGCAGCCGCGCTGGGTCAGAGCAGCAGCTGGCGAGTCTTCTCGTATGTCCCCAGGAAGATGAAGCCTCCCAGGCTGATGGCCGCCATCCGTGGGACAACACCTGCGAACAAGCTGAAGGCAAAGGAAAGGCAGTTTCAGAGGATGAGCAGATGCTGCATGGCTGGCTGCAGGAGCTCCAGAAAACAAAGCCAAGATAAATTCTCTCTTGCTGGTTTCTTAAATCCCACCCCACTGCTCAGTGAAGGGACCTGTCTGGGCTTCCCTAACAGAGTACTCCCATGCTTGGTGATTTTTAACCCCTTTCCACACTCAGCTGCACAGCTAAGGTGCAGGAGGCTACGGGCCACATGCAGAAAGAGGAGCTCAGACACGTCCCCACGAAGGATGGCGGACAGATGGGAAGTGTCCCATCCTCCGCTGCCCCCACCCAGCCTCGGGAGAGGGACCCCCCTCTCTCCAGGAGCTCCCCCGCTGCAGAGACAGCCCAGCTCACCGCAGCGGCTCATTCCCAGTCACATCCAACGGGGCCAGCAGGGAGGGTGCCGGAACGGCTGTGCGTTCAGCTGCCACAATTTTTAGGTGCCTGATCCTAATAGTTCTTGAAAGTTAACAGGAAACTCGTGCAAAGCCAATTGCTCGACACATCTAAGCTCATAGTTGGTTTAACAACTTCAGGCTAGGCCAATGTATCCTCCCAGAGGATTACAGGCTTCCTTCATTGCAAGCAAGGATTAAACATTAGGCTTGAATCTGTTTGGCATCTCCCTTCTGATCTATCACCCGCACAGCAGGAGCCCTTCGCAGCATGCTCTGGCTGAGCTCCGCAGGGATACTGTCCTCGGCTTTTTCTGAACGCTGCAGGTCCCTGCTAGGAGCATGTCCACATTGAGACAAGGTGCAATCCTGGTGAGATCGGGCTGCGCGGGAGACGCATGCGCTCCCAGGGATGCTCAGGAGCTCTGCTCTGCTCCCTGCCTGCGCTTGGCTACTCACGCTGTGCTGGGGAAACCTCTGGCTGCAGTAACTCCAGTTTTCGCTGTAATGAGCTTTGCTAAGGAGCCTGGAGCACACAGGCAGATGGAAACATTTTATGGCTTTACTAGACAGCAATTGGGTCTATTACCATAATGACAGCTTTAAAACAGAGTAATTTGTACAAGGCATGTATGGACAGAGTGCTGATAGGGTAAATCCTATGGTGCAGCATCGCTCTCGAAACACGCACCATCCTTCTCCTGCTGAATTAGGCAGCCCTCATTACAGCAGCAGTGGCAGACGTTCAGTTACAGAACAGCCCACTCGAGACACAGCTATTACACAAACAGGGGCAGATAACTGAGTTACCCAGAAGCTGCATCCCTGGCAACCTCTGTTACTAACCATCACTTCCAAGAATTCTGGTCCTGCTCCCCCCACAGTTTCCCTTTCCCTCTTGCCACCCATGGTCTCTCCAATCCACGTGTTGCTCACGGGCTCACTTCTGCAGGAGGGCAGAGCCGAATGGCTCCGGGCAGCCCCGAATCTGGAGAGCTGAGCTCTGCTGCAGGCCTGATCCAAACTGATCTCCTGCAGGGCCACACCTGCCCTCCTCCAGATGAGATCAATTGGAGTTTTTATTGCTGGCCCCATCAGAAGTCGCTCTGGTGGGCACAGGTCTGTTATCTTCTGATACAGTAGTATTTGCTATCTGTCTGTACAGATTTCACCTGGCACCCTGTCACTCCTCTCTCCCTGCCTGGGTTTTCCCTTTTGCTTAGTCAACTCTCCCAGTTACCGGTGGGATCCAGCACCGAGGGCTGGAGGGCTTCACGCCCGACCTCCCGGCACCTGCAATAACCGCACAGCAGGTCAGTGACCGGCAGAGACCAAACGCAGGCTGTCGGGTACAGACACATCACGCCCTCCCCAGCCGCACGAGGAACGGCTCGGCAGGAGTCACGAATCCAGGAATCATGTTTAAATCCCATGGCAAGGCCTGGCTGCAGGTGTTAAACCCGCACCGTGTGCCATCCTCCACCACGTGCATGCCCTCCAGAGTGCAGCTCTTTGTTTCAGGGTTCCCAGCAATACACCTAGTCCCACGGTTCCAGCACCGAAGGTGACATTTTTGGGCAACAACTCGGCAACCCAAAGCAAATTCTTTCTCAAAAGAGGCTAACCAGGGCTCCAGTCTAAAGTTACCCTTCGGAAAAGGCACTGCTGTGCCTGGACACAATAGAGAGGCCAGTGCTGGAAAAGGCGCTGCGTGCTCAGCCACAAAACCTCTGTATTACACCTCGGACCAAAGAGGTGGCCACGCTCAGAAAAAAAATCGGTTTTATCTGACTACAGCTTTGCACTGAGCTCGCTCCTGCAGGCAGCTTGTGCCCCTGGGCACAGGGGCTGCTTTCACCACTCGCATTGGTGAGATCAGGCTCTGGAGAGCAGTGGTTAGTGCCTGCCATGCCACGTCCACCCCAACCTAGAAGCTCATCCAAGGAACAGGACACCCGGTGCAAACCACCAGCTCTGTCCCCAGCTACACACAAGCTGGGACAAGCCATCTCACCAGATTCATCAGTTAAATAACCCTCGTCTTTCTCACCAATGAGTTGTGAAGCTTCATCCATGGCTTTCAAATGTCACCACCTCCTTGCAATGAAAAGCAGTCGGACAAGATGTAAACCTGTTTTCACACCAGTGCCTGGCAAGAGCGAAGAGGCACACAGATCCGCTCACCCTATCCCTACCCTACCTCCCGCCGCAGGCCTGGCTCTCCCCAGACAGAAAGGGATGTGATACTTCTTGGCGTGAAGCAGAGGGATTTACTAGGTGCAGACCAGGAAGCTGAGCCCTGCGCTCTGGTTTTAATAAGGTGGCAATAAGCAATGCATCTTTCTGCCCTCAGAATTCCTCCTCTTCAAGTATGAGATTTATTAGAGGAGCCATAAATCATTTCAAGTTGCAACTGGCCAAAAAAGCCCGACATTTTTATTGTTTTTGATTAATAGATTTATAATTGGCAGCAGGCATGGCAGCCTCAGCGTTTATTTTTCCCAAGACTTTCTTCCTTTTCCTTGCAGCTGACGCAGCTTGGCCTCCTTTACACGTTACTTTTTCTCCAGATCACTTATTGTTTTGATTTCAGTTGAATTGTGTTCCCTTTGGTCCTAGTCCACGGGTACTATCTTTAGGCAGAGTTTAATTTTGGGTTGTTTAGAAAAGGGCACTGCTGAAACACCCTGAAAAGAACACAAACATACATTTTTATTTTCTGGTGCTGGCTGGGGAAAGGGGGAGGTTTCCCCAGCCAAATCCATGCCTCTTCACACCCTTCAGAGCTCAACTTCCATCAGCCACAGACATGGTCTCACTTCTCCCAGTCCCTTTCAAATCCCTAGAATACACCAAGCCATGTAGGACTCAAAACTTGTCCACCACCAGGTCATCTCAAAGAGCAAATCTGAGACAACCCATCTCTAAGCGCTGCCGGGGGGCACAGCTGGACGTCTTCCTGGAATCGGTGTTCAGGAACTTCCTGCAATTTGTTTTGAATTATTTCCCACATGTGTAGAAAGAGGATTGAACTTTTATTAGTTGGGCGAGCAGAGATCAGATGTTAAGAGAAAACTATCTCCCGCAAAGCTGCGATGTGCATGCTGCTTCGAGCAACAGTTTACAAATGTTAAAACAGCACCCTGAAAGTATTGGCCACATCAAGCGGATTAAAAACCTTTGAGAAATTACAGTGAAAAGCCCCAAGTAAAACTTAAAAAACCCCTCTGTTTCTCTTCCAGGCCAAGGGCAGGTGGGACACAAACCTGACCGAAGGAAGCATAGGCTGAACCTCAGGGACTGGAGAAGTTAAAGATGTATATTCACTACAAATGGCCAATAACTGGTATAACTCGTGCACTCAAAGAGGACAAGGTAGCATAAATGAAGCAAGTGTCTGTAAAAATCAATAATAAGCTCGTGACACTTCAACATGTTCTACAAATGCTAGCAGAGGGCTTTTTGCTCACTACACCGCTCCAAGGTCAGAAGACCAACTCCCAGTCTCGGGACTGGGTAAAGCGAGGCAGTTAAGTGATAGGACCAACATCACCCCAGACTTCCCCGACCACTCAGCAGAAAGCCCAGAAGATGTCTGTACCCCAGTCACAGGAGGAAAGCAGCCAGAGAGCTGCTCTGCGGCTACTCAGACTTACTCTTTGCACTCAAGCCTGTCTCAGAAAACTTACATTTTTGCAACAAGTGCCTTCCTGGAGAAATCCAAGCGGGTACGTGCTCAAGCCCAGACCTGACGGGAGGCTCAAAGGACAAGTCAGGGAGCACACAGCTCGCTTCCTTCTGCTTCAGCTTGTCCCTGCTGCTGCCACCAATCTAGCATCATATGCTCCCATCACGCTTTGCAGTAACAACAGTGAATATAAAGGAACAGAGGAGACCTTGCTGGTGTTTTCAAATCAGAAGGAAATTGCCAGGAGGAGGAAAAGCCTATCCGTAAGGGACACATGGCTCCCGTGTTGACCTTCCCTGATGTCTCAGGAGGGGTGATTCACACACCTCAAGATCAGTCTGTTGCACTCACTGCCACAAGACAATATGCAAAGTTTAAATGGATACAAAACACAAACGCACACATTCACGGAGAAAAGTCCATTAAACACAAAGCCACCCTTGCCTCCAAAGCCTGGACCTAAGCTTAGAGATTGTACCATGGATAAACCCCCAACAACGCCCCGTTTCCATGCTCTTCCCCAGACATTACTCGCAGCCAGTGCTAAAGTGAGGACACTGACCTCCCTGGAGGGACCTTCTTGTTCCCAGCTACCTGAGACCTGCTCCCTGGCCACATGTACAGCAAAAGTCTTTTCGGTATGACAGGATTTAAATATAAGCAGACCATCCCATCCTCTCCTGCCCCCACAACACGAGATGTGCTTCTGCAGCATGTCCTTACCCTGACAGGCCTTGTGTCCTCCAGATGCCACCGAGGGCAGCCAGAACATTCCCGCTAGCGTTGCTGGAACCAGCCTGCACCACAGAAAGGGACATAGATTGGAAACTGTTGGCAGAGAGGTTTAGTTATTTACTGAGCTCCCTGTCCCCAGTTAGTGCTACTTTACAGCAACTACAGACATCCTAACGTCCTCCTTACCCCAGGCACAGGCAAAAGCTCCTTGTCTCTAGGAATAACACAAAGGCCAGAAAGGGAAACTGAGGCACAGAAGAAGAAAACGATCACTCCAAAATCACAGAGCTGGTATCCAGTCCTTTTCTGCACTACGCTCAGCTCTACATTCAGCAACTGACACTGGAGTAAGAATTTAATAAAAACACACTCTCAAAGCACCAACAAACAACTTTGCTGGTCACTGCAAGGGGATTTACACGAGATTTTCTTAAAAAAAAAATCACAAGTAGTATATTGCATGTGAAAATTGCCTTGAGAGCAAAACAAACAGCAGGACTACAGACAATTAAATTACACGTGTGATCTAGTTAGTGAGAGATGACTAATACAAAGACGCTGTCTGAATGGTCTCAGAACACCCCAAAGCACCATCATTCCCTTACCAACGCTGACCTGGCTGCTCAGTGCAGCGGCACACAGAAATGAAACCCAGTTCCTACAGTTTTATCACCCACACTATCCAAAGGCAAGGAAGCCACAGCAGGTACAACACCCGGCAATGAGAGACACACAACACAGCAACATGGTGAGTGCAGATGTGCGTGACTCAGCCGGGGAGGTGCATGTCATCGACAAGAAACGTCCCCGTACTGAGGGACATGGGCAACAGGGTAAAAACCATCCACAGAAACTCCAGGATGCCTGACCTTTGCCAACACAACAGCTCTTTTCAGGGCAGGGAAAGGTCGAGAGCTTTTAGCTATGTGGTTGATTAGCTCTGCTCTGGGGTCAGCAAGATGATGACGGGAACACTAGACTTACTAGCAATTTAACTACTTACTAAACTTACTGATCTTATAAGCCATCTTCCTTCTGCTCTGGTTGGCAGATGTAAGCCATCATGATCTCTGTGCCTTAAAATTCTAGGACAGAAAATGCAGTGCCAAGCCCTCCTCAGAACAGACACACACAAACTCAAGCCCAACCATTACCAAAAAAACAGAGGGATAAATCCCTGATGGGAAGTTTAACTTTGGGCATCTGACTGCAAGGATTTTCTCCTAAAGACACTGCATGAGACTCTGGAAGTCTAGCACAAGCACAGGCCCTTCTCAGCTCCTTTGGGAAAGGACCAGAAGAGCGATAGAAGGAAAGGAACACAACAATTTCATTAGTTCTGCATGCAATACCTGTTCACATCTAATCCTTCCTTCGAGGACAAGAGCAGAAATCGTTATTAATAGGTGCTGGATTTGATTCTCTAATGACCATACAGAAACTCTGGAACTACCCAAGCCATTCACCTGCATGTCTGCTGGCCTCCTTCACTCTTACCTTTGCCAACATAATTCTTGTCTTCGCTACATCGAGAGGTGTGGTGACTGCAGCTGCAAATCCACCTGAGTAAATTAAAATACCAAACACAAGTGAGACATTGTTGGTTGAATATGAATGCCACACTGCCTATATAATTCCCATGGCCGTGGTCAACACTGCTCCATTATTAATACCTACAGTATGTTTCCTCATGTTAGAGTCCAGGTACATTTGCTGAAGGTCTGTACATAGAGCGTTTTATTCCTGTGCTGAGTTAATGAAAACAGCTCTATACTAGTTAACTGTAAATCCAAACACACCATTGAGATTACTGTCCCTTTGTTTTGGACTCTGCACATATATGAACATACGAAGGTCATAAGGATAACAGATTCCACTTCCCACACCTACGGACAAGTTTGAAAGGAAGAACCTGCTCGCTCTTTTGCAGAGATTGGAAAACAAGCTCGTCACACTGTGCTCTGCCTTGAGAATTAAAGTCTGACCATTCAATTGCCAAAAAGATAGAAAGAGAGGAAAGGTTCTCTGCATCTGAACCACACATGCTTCAGGGGCAAAGCTGCCCACAAGACACAGACAGACTAGATTTGGACTTCAACTGTTAGACCTGGGACTCTGTTTCAAGGGAGAAAAGACAAGCCAGTGTTTGGGACAGTGCTCATCTCCAATGTTTCAATCAGCTCCATTTTGGATAACAACAACGCAAGGCTGCCCAGGGGTCTTTGGAGATTGTCCGAAGTCTGCTGCCACAAGTGCCATCTTCTCCTCATGGGCATTTTTATTCTCTCTAATCACCCCCAAACTTCTCCCGTGGAGCTCATCACTTTCACTCGGAGCAGCCAGCTCATCTGCGGCTTTCTTCCTGAAAGCCAGAAATCTTCAGCTTATCCATCTGCATGTCTCATCCACAAACCCGGGTGCGTCTGTCTCCATATTTTAACCCTGTGGCAACAGCCTGGCCTCTTGTGCTACCTAGGGACCAGCTTTGCTGCTTTTTCTCCCAGGCTCTTATTCCCTTTGCCTTATTTCCCCATCCTAAAATTAACTCTAATCTCTCTCTCCCTCCTCTGCTCACAGAATTTCAAGCAAGTAATTCATGCTGAGGAAGAGCCAAAGTGAAGGAAACTTTCAAAATGCAGGAGCAGCCCAGCAGTAAGTGAAGAAAGAAAGGGAAAGAAAGGCGGGGAAGAAAAGAAAGAGAGACTTGTTCTGAAATCTCTCTCACTTCTTCCTCCCTTTTTTTTTTTTTCTCTGGAGCTTGTATAAATCCTGTATCTGCTACAGCAGGAACAAAGTGACTCCAAAGACTGAAGCCTACACTGTACCCAGGGAATAAGCTAAAAATAATCTATTTTCGGTCCAAGTTTTATGGAATGTAGAAAAATTGATCTGTTTTCTTGGGATGGGAGGGGGAAAGCACTAGTCCTAAAAATCTGTAAAGTAATGAAAAAAAAATCCATCTTCCCTACTGGCTGGTGTTTTTACCTGCATATCTTTCTCTCAATCACCTTAGCTTTAATATATTAAACCCCTGCTTTATGTCAGAAAGGGATCATGCCAGCTGGCACCCTACATTGACTTCTTACAGTTAATTAAGAACGTCCCATGGCAGTTGGGGAGATGCAGCAAGGCACACATGCAGTCCCTTGGATCTCAAACAAGAATAGCAGGCAAGCCGGGTCAGCGAACAGCCCCAAACGCCAGGTTTAGCAGCAGCTTCTGCTCATGTAAGGTCAGCCCATCCGGTTCACTCTGCCGGAAGCTTTCTAGCAGTGATACCTCACTAAAAAGCAGAAAAATGGGTTGTATTCAAGAAGCCAAAGCAGAAACTATGAGCAAGTTAAACTAAATTCCAGCCCATTCTTGGACCTTCCTTAAGGTCAAAAATCTTTTTATTGTGAGCCAGTTTTTGAGTAAATGACCCAAAGGCTTTGAGAGAATAATCTGGTTAGAAACTTTGGTACTCATGTCAGCGATACATTTTTAGAACATTAAAAATAATCTCCATGGAAAATAGTGGCTTTACAAGTCTGGATGTAGAAGCCCTTCCTTTGCCCACAGACCAAGATAAAATTAAACAGTGAACCACATGGCTGCCAGGCCTGTGCCAAGCAAAAAATCTCAATGCATCACTCAGCTGCAGAGCTTACAGTAACACTTTAGTCTAACTTATTTCCCTTATCAGATCCCAGTATTTTTTTTAAGCATTTCTTCCTAACAGTTTCTTATTGGCAGAAGCTTCAATCTTGGCTGATAGAGTGATTAGAACAACACAATTTATCCTGATACGATGTTTCCAAATGCTTATCTGAAAGGTTTAATCAAGGCTGATTGGTTTTCATTTTTTTCCCCAGCTAACATCTGGATCTTTCACACTCTTCTGTTATTAACATTTCAACATTTCTTTTTTCATCACTGGGAAGTATTTGGAACAGATTTACCAATCAATTTAGAATGACAACAGCAACAATAAAATGCTTCATAAGCACAACAAGCAGCAGGATAGCGGCTAAATTAAATGCAAGTTTGTATATGCTTGACAAAAACACAAGATTAAAGCTAGCACTTGTTGGGAACTGCATTTTATTGAAGGCAGTAAGTCTGACAAAATTGATTAGCTCCAGCCTTAACCCTAAACATCCAATTTTAGAGTGACCTGTTCAATGTTAGTACACAGGTACCAAGAACAGGCTACAGCGCTAGCAGGTACTGCTCAGTCCCACCTACTGAACCGGGTGAAGGAACTTACCACATGACTGTTTCCAGTCATCAGATTAATACAGCAGATACAAACCTGTACAGCCAGAGACTACTCATTCAAAATAGGAGGGCCGTGCACTGCACTGTCTAATACACAGTAAGGCCTTACAGATCTTTAAATCAGTCCTTCAGACTATTTCTGCTGTCCCTGAGTTCTCCAAGAGCTGCCACGTAAGGATGGAGTCTGCACAACTAGTCAGCAACCAGGAAAAGCAGGTATCAAAGCGTCAGGTGGGCAAGAAAGGCCCACACTCATCCAACCTTACACTCATAATCATTCCAGCTTCTCTGCAGAGCTGACAGAGAAAAAGTCACCTTTGCAGGCAGTCTGCACCCAGACAGACCAACTCACAAACCCACTCGTGGAGAAAGCTCCTTTCTCCCTGCCCTAAAGGATCTGGTAATGAGTTGCGCTCAGCAAGCAGGCATAAAGATGGATTTGCATATGAGAGAAGGCTTGTTAATACTTCTAGCAGAGTGACAAACACCTCTACTGGGAAAAGAAAACTTCAAGCAGTAGTGGAAAATTCATCACCTGTCTCCCAAGAAGTTACAATGGACACTGTATATTCACACATCAGCTGAGCAGCTAAAATTTACCAAGCTCAGGGTGTTAAACAGAAAATCCCTCTGCGACTCACAGTTTCCCAGTGACCAATTCTTGATGGAAGTGCTAGTGACAGACATCCGCAGAGAACGATTTACCTTTATTTGGCAGAAAGAATAAAGAGTCTTGAAAACTTAAGATATTCCTCTAGGTTCCTGCTGTCATTTCCTACCCTTTTTAGCTGTCATATGCAAATAAAAATTGAGAAGCATCAGACCAGAGTGAAATACTTCACCTGAGAACAATACATGACCCCAGGTCCTCACAGTAAGGTGGTTGCCTGGAGAATTTGCTGCTGATGCTGTAAGAAAATGTTTCACAGGTTCTTTGACACACACCTCAAATAAGATTCTATGAAGGAAGGAAAACAATTCTTCTTCAGTCCCTGTATCTTTTTTTTTCTGTACCATTTTAACTTCTCCACACCCTTTCTAAAGGCTTCAGGGAACCCTTCTAGCCATCACAAGGGCTCCTCCTGACTCTGTGTTTCTGTCATCTGGCCGCACCCCTGGCATCCTCTTCTGCAACATGAGCTCAGTTTGGTAGGTCAAGCTTGTTTCAAGAGACAGGAACTTGTGCTTGACTAATGTCCTTGTTTGAATTAGCCCATCTTAGGAAAAGAAAAAAAAATCCCAGTTGAGCTGTATTATTGCTTGTCTTCATTACCATTTTCTGTACTGACATCTGAAGGTTACCCAGGATTGATTCAGGATTGAATCCCAAATCCGGGTTGAAAAACTGAGTCGCACAGGTCCAACACTAAATGTCACAGCGTCCTTTTACACTCACTGATTTCCAAGTTCACAAATGGTCTTTTTCAGAACTCTTCAATCAATCTGTTCTTATTTGAACTTTCATTGTATTGATATGATGTTAATTTTTTTAAAAGAGAAGTTAATTCTGTTCCTTTATCACTATGGGAACACCACCTGCCAATGGTAGAGCAAAGTGATCCAAGAACCTCTTTGGATTTCAGCAGAAGCACCAAGAGGCAAAGCACTGCTCCTCCAGCGATTTAACTAATTCAGGGTTAAAAGCATGGCCCAAGCAAACACTGCAGGGATATCTTGAGAACTACTCAAAAATTTATTCAGAGCTATAGAGTTAAAGAGGCTTTTAGACACAGTGTGTAATCTTGTCAGAGCTGATTAGATCAAAACAAAAGTGATGGGAAGTCTTCCCTGTTAAAGTGCAAAAAGCTCTTGTTAGTGCTTTATTATTCACTAGACCTGCACCTCCATTCTCGGTGCCTTTGTCACCACAGAGCATTAATTATTAACATTAAGCTACACTTTTTTTTTATGGTAGGGAGAAAGAAGACATCTTTAACTGAGGCAATTTTTAATCACATGAAATGGACACTCAGGTTCTCTGAGGCTGGACATCACCTTGCTGCTCCATGGCAGTACTTTGCTTTCCCAACAGCTAATACCGGATGGCAGGATTTCCTTGCCACCGGCCCACTTCCATGGAGGACTCAGGAAACCCACCCAGAGCTCTTCTGGGACAGCCTGCCCTGGTACGGTGCAGGGCTGGGGTGCAGTGGTCTAGCCAGGCAGCCTAAGCCCAGAGAAGACTCAAGCATGGAGTGCAACCACAATCACGCCTGGCCGGCCCTGCAGCATGGGGACACGCTTCCCTCCTCTGCCTCCAGCCTTACAAAGCCCGTGCCCAGATCTGGGCTGGTGGCCAAACAGCTCAGACACGAGGCCAGGTTTGGTTCAAACACAACCTCAGGCTTAAAATACTGCGTAGATCTACCCATGGGTTTCTCCCCACTGGCTGCTCAGATATCACCTTCTCTCACTCCTGGACTGCTCCAAACATCTCCTCTAGTTAAGACACAAGAGATGACAATAAAGCTGGACAAGGCCTCCAGGGATTAAATTATTAACAGATGAGACAGAGAGGATTCCAAATCTCTGATATTTATGCTCACGCCTATTACGTTTCTATAAAAAGCCCATGGATCGCATACATCTTACACATGTGCGCTCAACAAGGAAGAGCCGGGCCTCTCACAGCACTTTGGCTGAAATCACTGCCATTTCGCAGGCACGGGGGATGGAATTCAATATATATTGATGCTCTTTGTTCTGTCTTCGCCAAATAATCGATTATGATTTAGCTAGGAACTAACCAACACACACAGACACACACAGATATGTGTGTGCCATAAAGGGAAGCCAAACAGGACTTTCCTTTCAGTTTGTTTCAGCCTATTACCCTGCCCCTCAGGACCTCTAACATATTTTTAGAAAGTATTGAATTCAAGCAAAGAACACAGGAGAAAAGCACGTCTGTGCAATTTTGCCATCGCACTACTACCATAGCAGCATTTGACTACATCTCTGTGTTTAAAGGTTGTTTTTTGGATAATCTTCTCCTTTTAAGGTTTATAACATGATGATTTTAAATCATTCAGATGCACACATCCATCTTACTGTATTCACAGGGTACTGATGATGTTTCGATTTTTTTTTGTTTTGGGGTGGAAAGAAAAGGATAGAGAGTTTGGTCTGTTTTTTTTCTTCCCTTGTTTGAAGCTATATGTAGGTAGTTAATAATTTTTAACTGTGGAATCCATTCAGTCAGAAAGCAGGAAATTATTTTTCCACTGCCTCCATTCAGCAAGAAGGGTAAACATTTTCAGTGAAATACAATGGATGTGGTACCAGATTAGATCAATACAGGACCTGCCTGTTGCATGTCTGCAGAGCGAGGCAATGGAGCCGGACGGGGAAGGTTCTGATCCAAAAACAGTTGAAGCCCATGAGTTTTGAAGCAGGTCCTCAAGGAACACATGAGAAAGGAAGTTTAAAATACTGCTAGTGAAAAGGAAAGAATAGGGAAACAAAGAACAGAGAAGGAAAACCAGGCTGGAGGCAGTGAAGCTGGAAGGATAACCAAGGGAATATTTATCATCACCAATTATGACATGATCTACAAATTAGGACTCTAGCTCTGCAAAGATTTGTGCTTGGGAATAGAGCCTATGAAGACAGCTAGGCTGAACTGTCTCTTCTACCACCACCATGGACCTGGAAGTCTCTGTGCTGCTCCAGGACACAGTGTCTCCTCCAGCACAAAGTGTGTTAGGTCTTCCCACCATCTGCCAAAGGGCAGTGAAACGTTCATGCACAACCATGCTTCCGAAAGCTCCTTCTGCAGTATTTCTGCTAGAAAGCAAGCAGGTACTACTCAACATCCATCAAATAGTAGTAAGTCCAAGCACAACTGGTCAGAATTGAGACATACAGAGAAGTAAGTGGAGGCACTGGACTAGATTTCCAATTGAGGCACTCAATTGGACTTCAGGAAATTACTCCGCAAGGCCTTGGGTAAATCAGATAACCTCTCCAGCTCTCTGAACATGCCTGAACACAGTTTTTGTATCAATCTGGCTGTAAGGAAATCAACAGAGCCAAATTAATGATCCCATATCACACCTGCAGACATACAGATTGCATTTTAAAGCACTTTTAGTCTGTCTCAAAACAAAAATGAAAAATCTGCTTCAATCGTTCTGATTTTGTTTGCATTGATTTGATGAAGTCAGTGTAAAATCCAACAGCAGACTGAATTTTAAGTAGAGTAAAACTCCCTTTCCATCACATAAACATAGAAAATACAGCTGGAGAAGACCACAAGAGATCATCTGAAACATCCCCCTCTGCCCCAAAACGGAATCAATTCTACCTAAACCATTCCCTCACAGCTTGCACGCCCTATCTCCTAAACTGTGTGCAGTTCTAGCCACGGATCCTCTCTCTGTCGTGCAGTTACGGCACCCATCAAAACGAAGCCTCAGTCTCTGCTGGAATTCTGTGGCTATTAATACTTCAATTCCCCTAACAGAGCTTATTTTTAAAAAATTACATATGATGTAATGGCTCTGATTTTGTAAGTCATCAAAGAACAAGCTTTGCTTTTGATAATCTCTATTTCAAGAAATGCTATAATTTCTCTTTAAACAGGATTTATTTTTTCCACATATTCTTTTACTGGTTTGGAATCTCAAAATATATTTTAGCTCCTTGAGGAAAAGCTCTGGCTATCCATCTCTTAACTACTAATCTGTTTTTTCTATTAAGACAGTTGAGTCTTTCCTCCCTCAAACTTGTCAGCTATACTGATGAGTCATTAATTGATTTTTTCTCTTTTTTTTTTTTTAAACAACTACAGTAGGCTAAAATCAAGCAAGAAGCCTACTGAAGAATTCAATTAACTACTGGCTTCTTTGGTAATAAATAGTGCAGTATTGTATTCTGCCACTCTTTATTCTTGTTCTAGTGTCTGGAGATTGCCCAGATGTTTTGTCCTCCAGGTTGGGTTTTTTTTTTTTTTGCTGCGGAAGGCTTTTGCCTCCAGGCTGTGCAGTGCTAGCCTCTGCTCTCCTGACTCTAGTTAATCTACATGGCTGTCAGAGCTGTCACATGAATGGTGAATCATGGCCTCTCTCTGCAATCACTTCAACCCCTGGGGAAGTGCTCGGAGCAGACAGCTGCACAAACCCCCACCCAAGCAAAGTTTCTCCTGGATGAGGATTTTACAAATCAACTTTGAAATAATCGCAAAGCCTGACTGACAGGCCCCTGGTTTTTAAATAACAGAAATTTGTCAAAAACAAATTGGTTGTCTTTCAAATAGACACCCTGTTTGAGTCTTTTTTTTTTGTCCTTCCTTTGCTGACTTTCCTATTTCCAAACAACAACTGGGTCCATTTTCTTCTAAACAAACTTGAATTACAAAGGAATGCTGTTCTGCTATACTTAATAGATTTGCACATTTTTCCCTTTCTTCTTTAGTCTTTCCCAGTATAACATATAATCCTTTGCACCTGCAAAAGCTCCACAGACTGCTGACTGCCAAGAATCCACCACGTGACCCTGCTTCCATGACCAGAGATCCTGTGTTTAAAGAGAAAGGAAAATAAAAAGTTATTAAATGTTTGAATCTATCTGATCCCCATGTGAGTTAACTCTGAGGATGGGAACTTAAGTGAAAAGCTATTTTTGTGGCATTTTTCAGTGATGTAATAAGTGATTTTTCCCAAGGAACTTGTGTACTTGAACGAGCAGATGGAGTGAGAAAGATGTCTGGAACTGAGGAGGGCTTGAAGCAAATTGCTTTCAGGGATTTCATATGTATGTATTTAAGCCTGCGGCCATGCAACTTTGCAAATATTTTGTGAATTTATTTTCTTTTTGCCAGATAAAACAGTGCAAAGCAAAACACTGAGCAGGGGGGCGGCATGCAAAAACCAGTATCAGTTCAGCCTGGATGTACCAAACACTCCCATTTAAAATGAACAGTCCCCAGCACAGCAAGATAGAAGTCCTGTTCGTCCCCTTACATTTCTTACCAACCCTTCCCCTCATGCTCCCAAAAAACCCCCATCATTAAGAAATTTATCTTATCAGTCCCATTATATCCCAAAGCAGGTGTGTCTCTGTTTTTCACTTGGCATCATTAAGGACCACACACCCTTCTCCTCTCCAGCGCTCCCGCACACCCTGATCCGATACATTCACTCGCAGCATCATTTAAACACCCATTTAAAAACACCAACAAGAATTGTGCCTTCTAAAAACCACCTATCAAGAATCACATCAAACAGTTTGATGAGTCCAATCAGTATCAGCAGCAAAGGCCAACGCGTGCTGGAATGGTTTTTATTATGCTAGCTGCAGTCATTTCATTCTCTTCTCCTCTGCTGCACTCCATCACCCCTTTCCCATCTCCTGAAATGCTGAACATTGGAAGTTCTCTGGAGGAGAGCTTGCTGGTTTATGATGTGAGAAGCAGTGCTGAGCAAAAAGGGATGGGATCACGGCCCTTCTGAGGCCTACCGCAGAGAAATCAGTAATTTTATTTTATAGCTGTGGCACTATCTCATTCTTTTTAAAGCTGTATTACTTCTATACTATAAAATTTTCCGAAAAGCAACCTGACAGCAGTGGTAGGCTGCAATACTGCTCTTGGGCTCTTGGTCTGCAGTACAGCCGCTTTCCACTGGGGCACAAAAACTCATTTCCCTCATTTGCTGACTCTTCATTTAACATGCTGTCCTTGTGACTCGCTTCTTCCAACTTGGCTGGTGGTTTTATTTCAGTTGAATGTTTTAAAAATCAAACTGTTCAAGCAACAATGGCCAGCCACAATGTTGTTTGGTATCCTGCCATAGCTAAATAGCTACAGCTCTGCTGTACGAAAGCACTAAAGGGATTTCAGTCTCTTTAATGCTAGCCATTCTTTTCCTGGTGTTTTCAGTATGGGCTTCTAATCTGCTGTCACCCACAGCAGAAACTGATTTTCATCTCATAAATAAATACACAGGGATTCATAATTCTTCAAACCCATAAGATGCTTTTCTGGAATATCTTACAGACTTTGGACACACAGTTTTCTTGCAACTCAGTGCTGGATGAAGGTCACACACTCCCTCAAAAGGTACTACCTTCCAAAGCATCTAGGTACTTCCAAAGCATAAATCCTGCCTTCAAAACCCATTTTCAAAACAATTCAGGTGCTTAAAAAACCTCAAATTGAAAGTCAGGGTTTAGAAATTTAACTGCTGGAGCCACTTGATAAAAACAGAATTACTGTATTTTTTCATTAGATGTTCTCCAAAAGTCTATACACCTACAACTAAACCGAAGAACTCAGAGCAGTTACTTCTGTCATGCAGAAAAGAACTATGGAAGATCTGCTGGAGGACAAAAAAGAAAACCAGCACATTAATACAGACATTCATGGTTTTGCCAGAAGCCCAGCCTATTCTCACTCACAATGGGGTTTTATGTTAATGGCATTGTCCAAAGAAGTAGTAAAAGGTCATTCTTATTTCTTGGCATGTAGCTCTGAAATCTAGTTTCTGATAAAGCCTGGCTTCCCAGTACAGTTCTGCACAAAGAGCCTTTGCCAAGGCAGGCAAAGGGTGATGAATTCCTATCCATTATGCCTGCAAATTGACAACAGGTATTTGCAACAGTCATGCAATAGGGAAAATTGTTTAGAAGGGTGGAGCCAGGAACAGTTCAATTAAATTAGGGAAAAGGAGAATTGAGGCTGGAGAACAGGAAGAAAATTCCCCAACAATGAGGTCTACTGAACAGCGGAGCCAGCCTCCCCAGGGAGGAGAGGAAAGCCCTTTCCTTCAAGTCATTTAAAAATAGACTGGAGAAGGCAGTCAAGACTGTACTGTGGGGAATAATCCTGCGTTGGCAGGGGCAGGATGAGATGACTTCATGCATTTCTTTCCATCTCTGATTTCAGCGATTCACCCAGGGCTCCAAACCTGAAGCAGAAGAGCAAGAGAGAAGCAGTGCACGAGGACATCATCCCTGAGGAAGCTGAGAGGAACAAGTGTCATAGGGCCAAGAGGACCAGCAGGACTCTGGTCCAAATTCTTTCTAACCACACTCATGCTGCGGGCCAAGCTGACGCGCTGAAGGTCACACATGTTTTCTCTCATAGCCCACAGACCCACTGACTGACAGGGCTTTGTGGTAAATTAGGCTTGTAAGTTCTAAAACACTCGCCTTTGTGCTGCACCGAGCATGGTTTTAATACTACTAACACAGGGCAAAGCACAAAAGCTATTAGAGGCTTGTAGATCACTGTTAAAACTGGGGCCTTGTTCCTGGAAAGAAATACAGGACTCATACATATCTCCCCAGAACGCCAACTGTGGATAGAACTGCTGGTTATTTGCAGTGATACAGTGCCTAGATCACACTCTGACATCCTAGATGCTGCACAAGTTCAGAAGAGCCTTCCACTTGGGCGATAATGGCGAGAGCTCAGGTCACACAGCAGATGGGTGTCGGAAGCAGGCTCAGAGCCCATGGGTCATGGCTCCCTGCCCAGGGCTCCCAAACAAGGCAGAAGCGCCCACATAATGCCTGCAGAAGCCCTGCAACTACACTGCTTTTTCTACACACACTCTTGCAATAAGAAACATAAACCAGGAATTATGAGCAACACAACTGCAACAATTGGATCAGCCTGGTTTCCCCACCATCACCACCAAATCGCTCCTACCTGCCTACACTGTGCTCCTCCTGCAGAAAGGCTGCAGGAGATAAGGAGACTTCCAGGGCAATACCCATTCCCACTAGTATTCATAGCCTAGGAAAGCAAAATGACAAGGAGCACATTACATGAAAGCGGGCCGCCATGCCAAGCCTGTGTCATGTGTATTCTATTAAGCTGAAGGCTGAATAGAAGACTTTGTTTTCCACTTCAAAGGACCCCATCCCAATCTCTTGCTCTTCCCTTATGAATAACAAATTGGAAATAAATCTTCTGGCTGAAGTGCATGGAAACTCGTACAGTTGGGGCCCTCTGCAGCTTCCCAGCTCAATCGCATGGTAATTTTTTTTGTAAACACTTTTATGTGATATATATGTAAATCTTGCTGTGCACTGCCGCACCATGTAAAGCAATATAGCGGGTGTGTCCTTGAGGAATGGGACACACTGGGAAGCCTGAATGCAGATTTCCAATTATTCACAGGGATAATGTTCACAGAGAAGGGTCAAGTTTGATACGTGGGCAGAGCCTTACTTTTCTTCCTAACGATCCCATTTCATACTGTCCCATAGGCCAGCGTCCTCTACTTCTCATCACAAATGCTATTTAGCTCTTTTGATACTGACAATACAAGGACACCCCATTTCGTTGGGCAGAGGGCGCATTGGAAAAGTCACTCTTAGGATATACCAAAGGCCTTTCAATCTAAAAAACAAAAAAAGAAAAGATTACTACTGCCTTTAAATACAGGGGGGAAGTATATGGTGCCCACAAAGGTGGGCTCCTGACATGTTGTGGACACCTGGCCTCCAGATGGCCAATAACCTTTGACTAATTCACACAACTCCTTAGCTGCACATGCCTGTCACCTTTGCTGTAGGCTTGTGGTAAAAGTTTGGGGCAGAAATCATCTGTCAGCTTTGTGCTCCCACTGCAGTTGGGTCTTGGTCTGTATTCAGGACACCTAAGCTATGGTGATGCTGGGAAAGTGCAACACTCGCACCTCTCAAACCTGATGACCAGACCAACACCCCAAACGCTGCAGGAAGCACCGCAGAGAATGAGACATCCCTGCCTTGGCCTCGCTATTCTTCAGGCACTGAGAGGCAAGCAGACCTCATGGCATACGCTAAACTTGAGGTCTGCAGCTGAGTAAATATTACAATTGACGCCAGTGATAAGCATCTGTAGTATTTCTGCGTACCCCTCTGTTCAAGGCAGTGTTCAACCTCATGATAACAGAGGGGAGAAAAATCTCTCCGAATTAATCACATGGATTAGCGTGCATGTGCAGTCCTGCAGACTGAGGAAAGAAAAGCAATTTTCACATTTGTCTTTGCTACTAGGTATTTTACTTGCAATGTGGCATTCTGCATGGCTGATCCTTACAGATGCGTGGCACATTAGCTACAGGAGAAGCAAAAAATTTGTAAGCTGACTGCAGTTTCTATACGTAAAGTCAAACATAGAGCATAGAGCCAAACATCCTCCCCAGTGAATTTTTATGTGCATATGTGCAGCATATGTGCAAGTACATGTGTATATTATCTTGCAGGAAACATGCAAGCCCAAACATGGGAAAAATTCAATGATCTAAGTTCACTGTTGACATAAATGTTGAGACTCCGTTTGCACTAATGGAGTTGTACTCACTTATGCCAGTACTGAATTTGGCCCTAGAATTAAACCCACTCAAATCCTAGATAAATTGAGAGAAAGAGAACAAAAGTTGGCCTACATGCAACAGCATATTTTTCATGTTAAAAGCATTTCATTCCCTTTTTCTCCCCATATAATACTGCACTGATATCTGTGACCCATTTGGATGTAAATCAAAATGGATGTGCTAAGAGCCTGGTTAAAGAAAATGTCT